ATCTCGGCCTCACAGCTGGAACCAAGCACAGAAGAAGAACGAGTGGACCTCCACGAGACAGAACCAGAGCCAAGTCTGAAGGTGTAACCCTGTGACGAATGCTGAGTCGCCTACGGACCATGAGGCAGCCCACAAGCTCTGGGTACGGACCACTTGGCTCTACGGACTCGTTCGAATGTGGAGCTGAGAGCGAGTGGCTGGTAGACAGAGGAGTGGGCTGTGGCGAGGACCACGTGAAGCCGAAGCGCTGAAGGACCTGGTGCACCATGTGTGACTGAGTGAGGGTGATGGTGCGCCGTGCTCTGTCCCGGGTGATCTGCAAGCCAAGATAGCTCCGCAGCTCACCCAGGTCAGTACAGGTGTGTCTCTCCTGCAGCTCAGCCTTCACTAGGGCCAGTGCCTCAGTGTCAGCAGTAGCAATAACCAAGACGTCGACGTACACAAGGATGTAGAACGCCGGCAGAGTAGTGTCGGTGCGTAGATACAACGACGGGTCAGCAGTCGAAGGAGCAAACCCAAGAGTCGCAAGTGTCGTCCTCAGTGTGTCGTGCCACTCGCGGGGCGCCTGACGCAAGTCGTACACTGGTCGCCGTAGGCTCCACTGGGTACCCTCAGGAAACGACCCAGTGAAGCCCTCTGGACGGCGCAACCAGATGGCCTCGTGAAGGCTACCCTGCAAGAAAGCTGTCGAGAAGTCGAGGGACTGCAGCTCGTAGTCACGCTGTGCTGCAACGTGTAGCAACACCCGAAGAGTGGTCATTTTCGGGGTAGGGGAGAAGGTCTGAAAGAAGTCGACCCTTGCACGGTGACTGAAGCCTCGAGCAACGTAACGTGCCTTGAAGGCAGGCAGAGAACCCGGCGGCCGCTTCACTCTGAAAATCCACATGCCACTGACAATGTTCGCCCCAGGTGGGGGAACCTCGTCGACGTAGGTGCCTGTGGACTTCCAGGAAGCCATCTCTGCGTCCATGGCTGTCTGCCACCGAGAGGAGTACTCACCCGAAATCGCCTCTCTGTAAGAGCGGGGGTGGGGATGTCAAGTGCCTCCGGGTCTCCCTCAGGGGCAAGTAGCATGGTCGCGAGATGGGGTGCAACGACCGCAAGGCACTCCAGCTCCTCCTGCCTGTCCTCAAGAACGTCATAGCCAAGGGCAGTCTCACCCCCGACGAACGGAGGACAGGCAGGGAAAGGGTCAGAAACAAGACTCACAAGGTAGTCTAGGCGGTACACAGCAGCAAAGTCAACGAGCTCAGCGACTAAGGCAGACGCAGCAGGAGACGAGAACGAAGGGTCAGTCACCACCGTAGCAAGAAAGCGAGTAACAGTCGGACTGGATGCACGAGCAAGGTCAGACGGAGGGTCAGCAACGTCAGGAAGAGAGGACGCAGGAGGTAACGGCAGGATAACACGCTGTGGAACAGGAAGGACGGGGTGTCATATCGTGAGTGCCTTGGATAGCCGGAGCACGCTAACGACGAATACGAGGAACACGAGTACGGACAGCAGCTCTAGGCTCGGGCTCAAGGTCAAAGCTAGACTCAGGCTCTCGACGCTCAGGGGTAGAAGCACGAGTCTCAGGCTCTCGACACTTAGACAGGAACTGTGTCACCGCAGTGTAAGGAGCAGGAGTAGGAAGTGGGGAGTGCGGTAGCAGCGGCGGCTGAGACTGGTCTGCCAGTGGAAACAGTAACGAAGGAGTAGTACCTGCCGCAGAGAAGTCAGTAGCACCTGGCGGAAGACTAAGAAGGTGGCGAAGAGCACCAGCAGCCCCCGTACCTCCAGCACGAGCAGCTCCACCAGTACTCTTAGCAGCACCTCCAGCACTAGTAGCACCAGCACCTCCAGCACCACTAGCTCCGGCAGCGCCAGCACCTCTAGCACCAGCAGTGCCTCCAGCACCTCCAGTGCCAGCAGCTCCAGTAGCACCTCCAGTACGAGTACCTCCAGGACCAACAGCTCCAGCACCTCCAGTACCTCCAGCTCCAGCTCCAGTGCCTCCAGCACTAGCAGTACCTCCAGCACCTCCAGTGCCAGTAGCTCCAGTAGCACCTCCAGCACCTCCAGCACCAGCAGTACCACCTGCTCCAGAAGCTCCAGCACCTCTAGTACGAGCACCTCCAGGACCAGCAGCTCCAGCACCTCCAGCTCCAGCGCCTTCAGCACGAGCAGCACCAGCACCTCCAGGGTCAGCAGCTCTAGTAGCACCTGCAGCACGAGCAACACCACCAGCTCTGGCAGCTCCAGTACCTCTAGTACGAGCACCTCCAGGACCAGCAACTCCCGCAGCTCCAGCACCAGTAGTACCAGCACCTCCAGTGCCAGCAGCTCCAGGACCCTCAGCACCTCCAGTACCAGCAGTACCTCCAGCACCAGCAGCTCCAGTACCTCCAGTTCCAGTACCTCCAGCACCAGCAGCAGCTCCAGTACCTCCAGCACCAGAAGCACCTCCAGCACCAGTAGCACCCCCAGTACCTCCAGGCCTAGCAGCTCCAGTACCTCCAGCACCAGTAGTACCTCTAGTACCTCCAGCAGTACCTCCAATACTAGCAGCTCCAGTACCTCCAGCACCAGTAGCACCTCCAGGACTAGTAGCTCCAGCACCAGCAGCACCTCTAGGACCTCCAGCACCAGCAGCACCTCCAGGACTAGTAGCTCCAGCACCAGCAGGACCGTACCCTCCACCACCAGGACTGGCTCGCCGAACGACCCACGCACGAATCGCCTGCGGCGAGAGCGTCTCAAGTAGATCAGGCTGCGGTGGCTGTCCAGCTCCAGCACCTCTAGTAGAGGTAGCTCTAGCACCTCCAGCACCAGAAGCACCTCTAGTACCTCTAGCGCCAGGACCTCCAACAGGGTCACCCCCAACGCCACCGTCACGAGGACTCGCAACACCCCCAGAGTCAGCACCCCCAGGCGCAGCACCCCCAGTCGGAGCACCCCCTGAACCAGCACCCCCAGGCACAGCACCTCCAGAACCCGAACAAGGGAGAGCGCGCCCCAGACCCGAAACGCTGACGCATTACCAGCCTTCCCCGTCCACCGGAGGGTGGGCGAGGTCTCTGGCACAGAGACACGGGGCCAGAGGTTGAGCTGATGCACAGCGTATCGGACCACCTCCATGATCAAGCCAATGCGACGCTCAACAATCCCATTCTGCTGAGGAGAGGCCGGAAGCGTGAACGTCTGGCGGATGCCCTCGTCTCGACAGAACCCCGCAAGGAGGTCTGAGGAGAACTCACCGCCCCTGTCAGAGTGCAGACGCAGGACTGGGAAGTCCTGCCCAAACCGCTCGTGCAGCTGGAGACAAGTAGCACGGATCCAGGGGATCAAGACACCGCTGACGTCCGCCTTGCGCCGCAAGGGGAAGACAGTGGTGTAGCGTGTGTAGTCGTCAACAACCAGCAGGAAGTGGTGCTCGCGGTCCGTTTCACCGATGGGGGCCGGGCCCCACACATCCATGTGAAGAGTCTGCAGAGGAGCAGTGGTCGGAGGAAACTTGGAGGAGTGAGGAGCGGCGCGCTGCCACCCCTCGACGCAAGGAAGGCACGGCGGGGCAAGCGAGCGCGGCAGGGGGGGCAGGGTCCTGGGTAGGCCAGAGACAAGGAGACGGGAGTGCATGCTGCGTAGACGCGCCAAGGAGGGGTGACCAAGATGGTGGTGCCAGCGCTGAGTCTCGTGCGTGAGTACTCGACACGAGCAAGACGCAGCTAACTGCCCCGACGCAGACGCCCGACTCGACGCAGCCACTTGAACTGACTCAGCCACCTGTGCAGACGTTGTGGTCAGTGTGTACACACTAGACCCAGGCTGTTGAGTGAACGTAGCCAGGTGACGGCCAGTCCCCGGGAGCACGTACAGATCGCCACACGCTGCCCTCCAGGAATAAAGGTATCAACCCAGACATCCTGAATGGCAGCGTTGCTCACCAAGTTCGTCGAGAACGTGGGGAGGTGGAGACCTGACAGAGAACCGGAGGGGACTGCTGGACAAGGGAGGACCGTGGAGGCTCTCGCAACCTTAGGGCCCGCAGAGGGGTCAGCCAGTAAGACTGGGACAGGTGCTGTGAGTGGTGTAACTGTGGTGCAATCACGAAAGAAGCAACGTGACGCGCCTGAGTCAAGCGTGAAAGTGTGCAAGACCTCAGCTGAGGCAGGACCTGTGGCAGTGGACGCACTAGCACCTAGAGCGTCGGCAAACTCACGGGCACCTAGAGCTACAGCAGACTCACTAGCACCTGGAGCGACAGCAGACTCACTAGCACCTGGAGCGGCAGTAGACTCACTAGAACCGAGAGCAGGAACCTCTACACAGCCAGGGACGCATCGCTGAGAAGCACAATCGCGAGGTCGCTTAGGCCATAAAACCAAAAACTCCACCACCAGGACTGCCTCGCTGAAAAACCCACTCACGAAGCTGCTAAGGGGTGGGGTCGTCCGGGAGAGGCAGTGCCTGCTGCTGTCCACCCCTGGCCGCAGCAACTGCCGCGATAGTGGCCATGACAGACAGTGACGGTCAGCAGTAGGTCCAGCACCTCCAGCTCCTACAGCACCAGCAGCATCTCTAGCACTCCCAGTAGCACCTCCACCAGCAGCAGCAGTAGAACGATTAGCAGCAACAGCAGCAGTAGTAGCAGCAGCAGGGCGGCTCGGTGGGGCTGGGCGGCCGTGAGAAACTTAGAACGAGAATGAATGACTAAGGAATGAAAGTGATACAAATATGAAACCCTAGAATTGTGTACCCCTTAGTGTCTAACCTGCTACAGCCTACACAGGCTATATTATATAAGTTTGACACACCCCCATAGGCAAAGTGGGGGAGAACAAGGGGTCACAAGACCAGTCAAGCAAAGCAAGGCAAAGCAAGCTCAGGGTGGATCACAACGTCACCACACATTCTGAGCACAAGTCAAGGCCACAAGGCCAGTTCACATGCATGATTACATATATATAACGCTAAACAAGCAAGAGCAGGTATATATATGTGTAACAGTACAAGTAAGGTCAAGAAGTGAGCAAGTGAGGCAAGGTAGGCACAAGACCTAACAGAGTACAGAAGCGCTGATGATCACAAGGCGCGAGTGCCTTGGTGAAGATATCAGCAGTGTTGGCCTCAGAGGCCACGTAAGCAAGGCGCAGCTGACCGCGCTGCTGCAGCTCACGAGCAAGAAAGTAGCGAAGAGCGATGTGCTTCGTTCTGTGCTCCAGTCTGTGCTCCCGACACAAGGCCAGCATGGCCTTGTTGTCTACGTACAGAACTGGAGGAGAACGAGGCGGCTCTCCCAGGTCAGTCAGCAGGTAGGTGAGCCAGCGTAGCTCCTGTGCAGCCATGGCCCCTGCGTAGATCTCAGCCTCACAACTGGAGCCGAGAACAGAAGACAAGCGGGTAGACCGCCACGAAACAGAGCCGGAACCAAGGCTGAAGGTGTAACCCTGTGACGACCGCTGCGTAGCCTGGTCGTCAGCCCAAGAAGCGTCTGCGTGACCAGTGAGGACCACTGGACTCCGCCCTCCAAGCACTAGCCCCATGCCCGACGTACTGCACAAGTAGCGCAACACCCTCTTCGCTGCAGCCATGTGCTCTGGTCTGTGTCTCCCAGGAGCAACATAGCGTGCCAGAATGCTAAGAGGGTATGCAAGGTCAGGTCGAGTGCAGGTCATCAGGTACATGAGGCAGCCAACAAGCTCTGGGTACGGGCCACTCGACTCTACGGACTCATCCGAAGGCAGAGCTGAGAGCGAGTGGCGAGTAGACAGATGAGTGGCCTGAGGCGAGGAGTACGTGAAGCCGAAGCGCTGAAGGACCTGCTGCACCATATGTGACTGAGTCAGGGTAATGGTGCGCTGTGCTCTGTCCCGGGTGATCTGCAAGCCAAGGTAGCTGCGCAGTTCACCTAGGTCTGTGCACGTGTGTCTCTTCTGCAGCTCGGACTTCACGTAGGCGAGTCCAGCAGTGTCAGCTGTGGCAAAGACCAAGTCGTCGACGTACACGAGAATGTAGAACGGCGGCAAAGAGGTGTCGGTGCGCAGAAACAGCGACGGGTCGGCAGTAGAAGGAGCAAACCCAAGAGCCGCAAGTGTAGTCCTCAGTGTGTCGTGCCACTCACGAGGTGCCTGGCGGAGACCGTAGACTGGCCGCCGGAGGCTCCACTGGGTGCCAGGAGGAAAAGTCCCAGTGAAGCCAGGTGGGCGGCGCAGCCAGATCTCCTCGTGCAGGCTGCCCTGCAAGAAAGCAGTGCTGAAGTCAAGAGAGTGAAGCTCGTAGTCACGGTGAGCGGCTATGTGCAGCAGTACCCGAAGAGTGGTCATCTTCGGGGTGGGAGAGAAGGTCTGAAAGTAGTCAACTCCCTGCCGCTGACTGAAGCCACGAGCCACGTAACGCGCCTTGAAGACAGGCGGAGAACCCGGCGGCCGCTTCACCCTGAAAATCCACATGCCACTGACGATGTTCGCCCCAGGCGGGGGAACCTCGTCAACGTAGGTGCCTGTGGACTTCCAAGAAGCCATCTCTGCGTCCATGGCTGCCTGCCACTGAGAGGAGTAGGGACCCTCTATCGCCTCCGCGTAAGAGCGCGGAGTCGGGATGTCTGGTGCATCCGGGTCTCCCTCAGGGGCAAGTAGCATGGACACGAGATGAGGTGAAGCAGCCGCAAGACACTGGAGGTCCTCTTGTCTGTCCTCAAGGACGTCCGTGCCAAGAGCACACTCAACCCCGACGGACGGAGGACAGACAGACGCAGACTCAGCAACAAGACTAGCAGCGTGGTCTAGACGACAGCGAGCAGCGAAGTCGACGAGCTCAGCAACTAGGGCAGACGCCGCATTGGACTCAAAGGAAGGGTCAGTGACGAGAGTAGCAAGGAGACGCGTGACAGTAGGACTGGCAGCACGAAGGGAGTCTGACTCCGGGTCAGCAAGAGCAGGAAGAGAGGACTTAGGCGGAGAAGGCAAAGGGGCACGCAGAGGAGCAGTGGACGGACGCAGAGACATTCGGTGCGTGCCGGGGGCGGGGGGAGGACGCTGACGCGAACCACGACCACCAGTGCGAGCAGCACGGACAGGCGACGCAGGACGAGACGCAGGCTCACGCCGCTCAACAAGACCTCCAGTAGGACCAGTGTAGGGAGAAGGAGCAGGCAGAGGAGAGGTAGGCTGTAACTGTGACTCAGACCGGACAGGCGGTGGACACTCTAAGGGAGGAGCCGGACTAGTGGAGGGCGGAAGACCAAGAACCTGCTCAAGGAGCGGAACGAAGTACGGCCGCGGCCGTGCAGCACCCCCAGAACCAGCAGGAACAGCGCCAGCACCACGAACGGCAGCACCAGCTCCAGCAGCACCAACGCCAGCACCCTCAGAAGCACCAGCACCAGAAGGGACAGCACCAGCGCCAGCAGCACCCCCAGCTCCAGCAGCGCCAACTCCAGCACCCTCAGGGGCACCAGCACCAGAAGCACCCTCAGCGCCAACACCCCCAGCAGCTCCAGCTCCAGCCGGCCCACCAGAAGACGCAGTAGGTCCACCAGCTCCAGCACCAGACGCACCCGCAGGCCCAGCAGCTCCAGTACTCCCAGTACGAGCACCTCCGGGACCCGCGGCTCCAGCACCCTCAGCAGCAGTAGAACCTCCAGCGCCCGCAGTGCCTCCAGCTCCAGCAGCACGCCTCCAGCGCCGGGAAAACCACTCACGCAGCTCCTGTGGAGAGAGTAGCTCCCGCCGGGACGAAGCACCCGAAGAACCTCCAGGCCTAGCACCGCCTGACGCCACACGAGCAGGTCCAGTACCCTCAGTCTCCGCACCCCCAGACGCAGCACCCCCAGGCTCAGAACCCCCAGGCGTAGCACCCCCAGGATCAGCACCCCCAGGCGCAGTACCCCCAGAGTCAGCACCCCCAGGCTCAGCACCCCCAGAGTCAGCACCCCCAGGCTCAGCACCCCCAGAGTCAGCACCCCCAGACCCAGCACCTGCAGGCTCAGCACCCCTAGCAACACCAGAGTCAACAGCTACCTCGACAGGGTCGACTGCGTCTACCTGAGACACACCTGAGGGGGCAGGACCTTGAGGGGGGAGGGGGTCTACCGGAGGGGGACCTGGCGTAAGGAAGAGCGGCGCGGGGGGGAGGGACGCAGTGCGGTAGGGGAAGAGACGGTAGTAGGGAACCGACTCGTCAAACGTGACGTCCTGGGAGGACAGAACACGGCGCGAGGTGGGGTGGTAGAACTGCCAGCCCGGCGCGTCAGGGGGGAAGCCAAGGAAGACACAGGGAACAGCACGAGGGGACAGCTTGTCCGCAGACAAGTCGCGGACAAACGCCCGAGATCCCCAGACACGGAACGCAGACGCATCGCCAACCTTCCCCGTCCACAGCAAGGCAGGGGAGGTCTCCGGCATGGAGACCCGGGGCTGAAGATTGATCTGATGCGCCGCGTACCGAACCGCAAACGGCCACAGAAAATGGGGGGCAGCCGCATGGACCATGGACGTACGAGCAACGTCCATGACCATGCCAATGCGGCGCTCAGCAATCCCATTTTGCTGCGGAGAGTCCGGAAGCGTGAAGGTCTGGCGGATGCCTCGTGCACGACAGAAGGCTCGCAGAAGGTCAGAGGAGAACTCTCCGCCTCTGTCAGAGTGCAGACGTAGAACAGGAAAGTCCGAGCCGAAACTCTCTCTGAGATGGAGACGAGCTGCGCGGATCCAGGCGATCAACACCTCAGTGACCTCACCCTTGCTGCGCAAGGGGAAGACTGCGGTGTAACGCGAGTAGTCGTCAACCACTAGCAGGAAGTAACGCTCGTGACCCTGTCCACGGACGCGGGCTGGGCCCCACACGTCCATGTGAAGCGTCTGCAGCGGAGCCTCTGTCGGAGGAAACTCGGAGGAGTGAGGAGCAGCGCGCTGCCGCCCCTCGACGCAGGGAACGCAGGTGGGGGCAGGCCCCGGAGGAAGGGGAGGGAGGGACCGGGGGAGACCAGAGACAAGGACACGGGAGGCCATGCCTCGAAGGCGAGGCAGGGAGGGGTGACCAAGGCGGTGGTGCCAGAGGAGAGTCTGGTGAGACAGGAGACGACACGAGCAGGGGGTGGACTCAGGACCAGACCTGGACGCCGCAGCAAACACCTGACCCGACGCGGCTACCTGAGCAGACTCAGCGACTGGAGGAGACTCAGTAGTCAGTGTGTACAGGCTCGACCCCGGCTGACGGGTAAACGTGGCCAAGTGAGGGCCCGTCCGAGCACAGGTACAGTGAGTCACTCGCCGACTCGCAGGAGTGAACTGGTGAACCCCTGCATCCTGGAGGTCAGCACCACTCACCAAGTCCGTAGAGAACGAGGGGAGGTAAAGACCTGACAGGGTGCCAGAAGGGGCCGCCGAACACGGTAGGACAGTGGAGAAGTGGGCAAGGACAGGACCCCCAGAGGGGTCTGCCAGGGAGACTGCCACTGACCGGCGAAGCAGCGTGAGCGTGGTGCGGTCTCGAAAGAAGGAGCGGGAAGCACTCGAGTCAAGGGTGAAGGTGTGGGTGGCCGGAGCCGACGCGGTACCTGAGAGCGCAGACTCACCAGTACCTGGGGCAGCTGACTCACTGGCACCTAGAGCAGCAGCCTCACCAGCACCTAGAGCAGCAGCCTCAATGCCCGGGTCAGGCGGAAAACACCGGTAACAGTCACCCTCATCACTAATAGTCACAGCATACATGGCAGCAAGAATAGCATCATAATCAAGATCAAAGATCGCAACACCCGCCCTAAACAGCTCGCCCCAGCGAGGGATCTCAGTAGCGTCGGGGAACTGATGACGCCACGCGTCCGTCAGGCGGCCGAAGCAGCGCTGGGTGGAGTGCGGACCCCCACACTGCTCACCCGCTCGGTTGCCGGTGCGTAGAACGTAGGTACAGGGGCCAACACCCCCACCCCGCTGACGAGCAGCGTACCACTCACGAAGCTGCTGGGGGGAAGGGGTCTCACGAGTGCGCTGCTGCTGCTGCTGCTGCTGGCGCTGACCACCACCGGAGCCGACCCTCTGTGTAGAGCCACCCCGACCAGCTCCACCTCCGCCGCCGCTACCTCCACCACCGCCTCCACCTCCGCGACCTCCGCCCGCACCACCACCACCTCCGCCTCCTCCGCCTCCACTGCCGCCACTAGCGCCCCCACCCCCGCCACCACTCCCACCGCCACCCCCATTCCCTCCGCCGCCTCCACCGCCGCCTCCACCGCCCCCGCCAGCTCCTCCAGCGCCCTTGCCCCCCTTGCCCTTGCCTGGGCGGCGTCTCCCGCTAGGGGCAGACGCCGCGCCGACCGACTCAAGACCAACAAGGTCGGCCGCAGCAGCAGAGGCAACAGAGGGCAAGAGGGGGGAGGGGGAGCACCCCTCAAAGACAGGGGTACGAGGGTCACCACGAGAGGCTCCTACAGCGACTATACTCTTCTCTGCTGCTAGGAGGCGCTCCTCGAGGAGGTCAACGGTGAGTGTGGTGGGGCAAACAGAGAGGAAGTGGTCCCTGACCGAGCGAAGGGTGTGAGGGAGCCGGGTGACTATGTTGTAGAGGGTGATGTACATAGGGGGGGGGTTCTTGGTGCAGAACTCAGCAGGAAGCGCAGCGCGGTAGCGGGTGTCACTAGTGCGAAGGTGCGTAACCAGGTCAGCGACTGTGGGAAAAGCGGCGAGGTCAGGGAAGAGGTACGGCAGGATGAGGCGGCTAAGAGCAGCAGTGGCAGGGGAAGAGTAGCGTGCAACTACAGCGTCGTACAAGGTCTTAGCACTCTTGTACTGGCTAAAATGCACGCGCTCAGCGGTCGGTAAGTGGCGGCGCACAGCAAGGCGGGCAGCAGCATCGCGCGTGGCCCACTGTGAGCGAACAGTGGCGTCAGCATCAGCAGCAGGGGCAGGAGAGGCACCAGAAGTGAGGTCAAACAGGGAGAGACCGTCTGCCCTATCGCACTGTAGGAAAAGCTGCAGATCATCTACCCAGACCTCAAAGTCAACAGCCCGACCATCAGCGTCAAAGGTGAGAACACTAGGGGTGGCCATGGCAGCATTAGACAGGCAGTGAGTACAGTGGGGTAGGGCAGTGCAGTGGCAGAGGCGCTGCTCTTACCAGGCAAGTGAGGCGGTCCGGGGCAGGCCGGCAGGCGGCGGCGTCTCGGCTGCAGTGCGGCTCGGTGGCTCGGCGGCTCAGCGGCTCGGCGGCAAAGGCGGCTCGGCGGCTCGGCGGCAAAGGCGGCAAAGGCGGCTCGGCGGCTCGGCGGCAAAGGCGCCTCGGCAGCTCGGCGGCTTGGCGGCTCGGCGGCTCAGCGGCTCGGCGGCTCGGCGGCGCAGCGGCTCGGCAGGTCGGCGGCTCGGCGGCTCGGCGGCTCAGCGGCTCGGCAGCGAAGGCGGCTCGGCGGGGCCGTGAAGGGCGGCGTCGCTGCCGCAAAGGAGCGGCGACGGGGCCGCTGAGGGGCGGCGACGAGGCCGCCGAAAGGGGGGGCGGCGACGAGGCCGAGTAGGGGTGGCGACGGGGCCGTGGAAAGGGGCGGCGACGGGGCCGCTGAAGGGCGGCGACAGGGCCGCTGAAGGGCGGCGACGGGGCCGCTGAAAGGGCGGCGACGGGGCCGCGGAAAGGGGCGGCGACGGGGCCGCTGAAGGGCGGCGACGGGGCCGCTGAAGGGCGGCGACGGGGCCGCTTAAAGGGCGGTGACGGGGCCGCTCAAAGGGCGGCGACAGGGCCGCTGAGAGGGCGGCGACGGGGCCGCTGAAAGGGGGAGGCGGCGACGGGGCCGCTGAAAGGGGGAGGCGGCGACGGGGCCGCGGAAGAACAGCGACGGGGCCGCTAAGGGCGGCAACGAGGCCGGCAGAGGCGGCGACGGGGCCGCTAAGGGCGGCGCGACGGGCCGCTAAGGAGGGCGCGACGGGGCCGCTAAGGAGTGCGCGACGGGGCCGCTAAGGAGGGCGCGACGGGGCCGCTAAGGGCAGAACACTAGGCGCGCCTCGGGCAGGGGACAACGCGCGCCCCGGGCAGGAAAAAATAAAAAAAATCGATCGTGGTGGGCCCTAGGACAGTTCCCACTAGGGAACCTGCTCGATACCATGAGAAACTTAGAACGAGAATAAATGACTAAGGAATGAAAGTGATACAAATATGAAACCCTAGAATTGTGTACCCCTTAGTGTCTAACCCGCTACAGCCTACACAGGCTATATCATATAAGTTTGACAGGCCGCACCTCCTGCACTCCCAGCAGCACCTCCACCAGCAGCAGTAGTAGTACGAGTAGCAGCAGCAGCAGTAGTAACAGCAGCAGGGTGGTTCGGTGGGGCTGGGCGGCCGCACCTCCACCACTCCCAGCAGTACCTCCTCCAGTAACAGCAGTAGAATGAGCAGCAGGAGTAGCAGTAGTAGTAGCAGGGCGGCTCGGGTTAGGTAGGGGGGCTCGGCTCGGGCTGGGCGGCGCGGCTCGGCAGGGCGGCGCGCGGGCTGCAGGGGCAGCACACACGGGCTGCAGAGGCGGTGCAGAGGCTGTAGGGGCGACGCGCGGGTCTCAGGGGCAGCTCGCATGGGCTGCAGGGGCGACACGCAGCTCGGCAGGGCGTCGCACGGGCTGCAGGGGCGGCGCGTGGGCTGCAAGGGCGACGCGCGGGCTGCAGGGGCCGTGCGCACGGGCTGCAGAGGCGACGCGCGGCTCGGCAGGGCGCGCGCAGGCTGCAGGGGCAGCGCGAACGGGCTGCAAGGCCGACGCGCGGCTCGGCAGGGCGGCGCGCTGGCTGCAGGGGCAGCGCGTGGGTCACAGGGGCAGGCACCGCTGCAGGGGCAGCACGATCGCAGGGGCGAGCACGGCTGCAGGGGCAGCACGGTCGCAGGGGCGAGCACGGCTGCAGGGGCAGCACGGTCACAGGGGCGAGCACGGCTGCAGGGGCAGCACGGTCCCAGGGGGGAGCACGGCTGCAGGGGCAGCACGGTCGCAGGGGCGAGCACGGCTGCAGGGGCAGCACGGTCGCAGGGGCGAGCACGACTGCAGGGGCAGCACGGTCGCAGGGGCGAGCACGGCTGCAGAGGCAGCACGGTCGCAGGGGCAGCGCGCGGGCTGCAAGGGCAGCGCGGCTGCAGGGGCAGCGTAGGAAGAAAAATTTACGGTTAAGGCAGGGCGGAATGTTCGGTGGGCCCTAGGAACGATTCTGCTCTAATACCATGTTAAAATAAGCAGGCAGGAATGATAGCATAGAGCAGCAGGATGAGTACAAGTATGAAACCCTTAAGGGTTGTACTTAGTAGAGTATGCCCCACTATAGCCTAGAAGCAT